GTAATCGGGGTCCGGGGCACAGCGACTGGGCACTCAGATGATGCTCGGTCCCTCTGCTACCGGCTGTCCCCTGGCCGGTGTCCCCCCCCACATTGGGGGTTCCCTGAAGGCAATAAATAAAGGCCACCCTGGGCTGGAAAGGCCACCCGCCGGTGTCAGATTAGACACTAGATTGAATTTACCTGGGCTGGTTAGTCCGATGATAATACCTCAAGGCCATCGCCCTTTTTTTCAAATTAAAAAAAAAAACGAACAAAAAAATAAAGATATATTTTCGTGCGCCGAAACGTTTCAACGGAGAGCACATGGAGGCAAGATGCAACTAAGCTCCGCTAGAGTCAATCGTAACGTGTACACGTGGCAAGGGATCAAAAAGCATATGGAGGCTAAAAATAAAGATGACGGCAGGATAATTCCAGACGAATGGCGTGAGCTCTATAGAACGCCAGGTCATTGTAGCTGTATTTGGGGCAATTTTCTGTCTAGATACAGCGATGATGACCGTACGTTCTCGTTGGGTGAAGACGGTAGGCATCTGCACTGGGACTGAGATCCGGCCCAGATTCACATCCGAGGCAACAGTGGGGAATCTTGGACAAAAGACCGATCCAGCAATATCGTGCGATCGCTCTTGTAACTCTTTTGACTTTTTTTTTCTCTCCTGATCTTGTAAATATTTCCTCGATGGTGAGATTATAACACGAGAATCCCGAATGCCACGTGGCATTTTCGAAAGACCTAACCAATCCCGAGGAAAGAAACCGTAAAATCTCTCTCTCTCTCTCTCTCTCTCTCTCTCTCTCTCTCTCTCTCTCTCTCTCTCTCTCTCTCTCTCTCTCTCTCTCTCTCCCTTTCCCCCCTGACTGCGCCACCCACTTGTGACTGCTTCGCTGGCCATCGTCAATGCCAGTCACCACAATAACTATTGCACCAGAAGCTCTACTTCTGGATCCGCTCAGCACTGAGACCCCCCCTCTTGTTCCCGCGCAAAACCAGTTCCCCACTGCGCGCAACAAGTTTCCCGCCGTCCGATCCCGTGGATCGTACGGCTCGAAAACCTCCGGAGGCGCGCGCGTAACAATAACGACGGCTCGTTCCCAAATACATTCTCTCCCCCTTGAAATGAGAAAAAAAAAAAGACTCCCTTGCTAGGCTACTAGAGTGGCCCGGGTCCACTAGCTCGGCCGGGCCAAAAAGATATAAAAAAATAAAATTTAATTTTTATTTTAATTTTGGTCAAGAATTTCGATGTGACCCTGAGGCAAAAGTTGTTCAGTTTATTTTTCTGCATAACATAGTTTTTTTTCGGATTTTTTGGATTTCTTTTTTTGTTTTTTTTTGGCTGGGACCTTCCCTGGTCCTTGCACGGCCGGGCCGCCCGTGAAAACAGGGTGAGCCGGGCGGCCCGGCTGGTAGCCTAGCTCCCCTGGCTATAAAAAAGATGAGCAAAAATACAGACTCGATGAAAATCAATACAATAATCTCAAAACTAGCCTGCACCGTCAAAAAAAACAAAAGAAAAAAAAAAAAGAATCTCTAAAATTAGTCGAAGGCGGGTTCTTCTTTCCCGCTCTTAAACCGCGACTACCCGTCTTAACCCGAACACAACGTACGGTCATTATTGTAGCTGAATTTGGGGTAACTTTGAGTCTAGATACAGCCATAATAACAGTACGTTGTATTCCTGTGAAGACGATAGCTTTACGACCGCTATGGTCAACAGGCGATGAACCCCTTGTCAGTTTCCGGCTTCATCCCCAATAGAACGTGAAGACATTCTGGTTGTATCTAGACTGAAAAGTGCCCCAAATACATACAGGTATAATGACCGTACGTTCTCTTCGGAGCAGGACGGGTAGTCCTCTGAGTCGACGATCCGACCGCCTCAAGGGATGACAGAGCAGAAGCTGTGATTAGAATTACTACAGTAATAAGATCAACAAAAAATTACCGAGCGAGATCGATTTGAAGATGGCATATGAAAAAAAGCTTGTAGTCCAGAGCCGATTAGTTTGAGAATCCGCCGTTTATCTCGGATTATTAACCAAATGATCTTATACAGAGTTCCATGATTTACGGCTCCAGGGGGCCTTCGTACAGGCCTCACCGACACACAGTATAAACGGGGGATCTGGGCTACCAGCCCGGGGCGTGCGGGTCACCTTGTTTAACCCGGCGGCCTGGCCGTGCGAGGACCAGCGAAGGGCCCAGCAAAAAAAAAAAAAAAATCCCAAAAATCTGGAAAAAAAAACTATGTGATGCACAAAAGTAAACTGAAAAACTTTTGCCTCAGGGTCACATCGAACTTCTTCACCAAATTTGAAATAAAAAATATAATTAAGCCTAGCAGGGGATGGTAATGTTCTTTGTCTTTTATTATTATTTTTTTTAACTTGAAAACGAAATTGGACCATCTCTCAATTGATGCGTTTCATCCTTGCGCAGGGGCCATGCTTATCTTCTCAGTAAGGGGGGTTGATAAATTGCATGGAATACTTGTTGCTTTAGGGGTAATGGATCCGAGAAGATTTATGTGTCCAAGTCAAAGGAACGTTAACAGTCAACGCACTCGTAAGGTTACCTCAGGCTTAATGATCTATATATATCCAAACTGAAGATCTGAACTACCATCTCCCTGCAGATCCCCATTCAAAACCCCTTAAGAAAAAAGAAAAAAAAAAGGAAAAAAACTTTTGCAAGGAAAAATCATCCTTTTCAGGATATGGATGGACAACATAATCAATCCGTGAAAAACCGATGTACATAGAAAACATTA